TTTTTTTTTTTATTGGTTTTGCTTGGTTTTTTCAGACCTATTTATTGATACTTGTTCCCATACCTAAAGGGATTTCTCATCTCGTTTTCTTTTCATTTTTTACACCTAAGAACATAGATTTAGATCTTGCTTTTCATCTCGAATTTCTGCTCTATTTTTCTTCTGATTAATCTTGTGTCTCGGATGGGCTTTCAATCCCGTTTTAATCGTAAGTACTTCTATTAATTTAATTCATGAATTGATTTCTTTGATTTTGTGATCGATTTTGTTGAATTCATTATGAGTAGCTAATTCGATTCTCTAGGGATAGAGGATAATGTTTTGGATTCGATTGTGATATCCGTACTCGATGATCATTCAATTTATGCGAGTTGATTTTAAATAGGATTTTAAATTATCATGCTTGGATGTTGAAAATGTTGAAGGGTGACACTTCAATCTCCAATTGATTTTCAATTGAATTTGATTTATCCTTGTGTGATCTTGTTCATCTGATTGATTAGTCGATTAAACACCGTCTAGTATAATTTAATCAACTCTTAGAACCGAAAAGGGAGGAGTCGACCGATTTAGGGTCGTATAAAATAGGTTGTCGTAATTGTATTACCTATGTGTTAAACGACTCGTTAATTTGTCGTTCATATTTGTTCTCTTGTTAACAAAAGTTATTGAGGATAAGTCTCTGAACGAGTAGGTTATTTGAATTCTATAACCGAATGATCACTTTCCCATTAATTGTACTTCGAAGTAAAAAATATCCTCGACTCCTTAGCTTCTTTATCATTGCTTGATCATCGTCTTTGCTTTTGAATTGTTTGAGTTTTCATAGTTGATAATCAAAACCAATCTTCTGAATTAGAATATTAGGATTTTTTTTTTGTGTTTGAATAAACGTGCATTATAATTCGGCTAACCTTCCTCGAGAGATCGACCAGGGGAACGAATCATTCGATTCAGTACTCGGAAAAAACATAATTTGCTTCAACAAATTTGATGTCGTTGCCGGGGAAGGCCTAGGTTTTATTTTTGTGCACATATTCTTCTTATTTGTTGTGCTTCTCTTTGTTCTTGTGTGCTTTTTATTTCTAGTTTTTCTCTTTGTTGGGTGTTTTGCTAAGTTTTCTTTGCTTTTTCTTGAGTCTCTCTTTTTGTTTTATTTTCTCTGTCTATCGTTGGTGTTCGTAACCCTTTTCTTGTTTGAGTGTATGCGCACCAGGAGTGGACCTATAACCTCTTCAACCGAGAAATCCATTCATGAGAGGTTGAGGGAGCTATTGGACGACCTTGTTCCCGAATCATCCGAAGAAAGCAATCAGGACATGGATGAACAACAACCTCCTCATGACCTTCTCCGAAACTTGGCCCAATCGTGATTGGGCCGATAACTTCATGCATTTGGTTAGGGCAGACAACGCTCAATTATGAGCTGAAAATGGCCCGCTACAATCAGCTCCTATCATTCCATGGACTTCCCAACGAAGACCCACTTCCCTTCATCTGGATCTACAATGTCCTCTAGACTTTTCCTCTCTACGGGCTGAACGAGGACCAACTGAAGATGAGATGTTTCTCTGAGACTCTGAAGGACAGAGAAAAGGCGTGGTTCTTGACCCTCACACCGGATTCTCTCACAATTTGGGCCTAAGTCTACTATAAATTCATCAGGAAATACTATTCCCGTCAGAAAATGCAAGAACTTCGGTCCCAGGTAGTCTTCTTTGCTCAATTTCTGAATGAGCCTCTTCACGAGGCCTAGGAGCGTTTTAAGGACCTCCAGAGGCAGTGCCCACACCATAACCTCTCTCTGGGGCTACTGATGAATTGTTTCTACGACTCTCTCCACCAGAACTTGCAATATATGGTGGAAAATGCAGCAGGAGGTGATATCAGGCCAAAAAGAGCTGAGGAAGTGATGGAAATATTCGAGACGATGAGCCAAACTCGTCTCAGAAGAGTATCCGAGAGAAAAGGGCAACAATGAATGAGTTCGGGGCGAGCAACAACATGATGGCCTAACAAATAGCCGACCTCATCGAGCAAATGAGGTTACTTAATGGGAGAGGAGTTTCACTGGTTCAGAAAATGGCTGTGAGTGTTTGTGGGGCATGTGGAGTTCAAGGTCACATGTCCGTGGTGTGACCTTCGGCTATCGAGTCAAACTATGGTGGGCAGAGTGCTGAAGTGAACGCATTACAAGGGTATCTGAACTGGCCGAGAAACGATTTATACTCGAACACGTACAATTCTGGGTGGTGAAACCACCCGAACTTCTCATGGGCAGACAATAATTACCAGCAATCACCTCAGCCGAACTTTGTCCCCCATCAGCAGCAACAAAGAGGATAAATGACAGAAATGTCAACTCAAGGAGCTGGATCGATCCCGCCAAATTCATAAGACAAACTAGACAAAATTGTTCAATTCATGGCCAATAGTGAGCAGCGGAATGCAAACAATGAGGCTTCCATTAAGCTCTCGGAGGCACAGATGGTCCAGTAAGCCACCCGGGTGGGGAGCATCGAGTTAGAATTGAAGAAAGACAAGTTTCCAAGTCAGCCAGAGCATGCAAAATCTATAACAGTGACTTTGCCCTACTTTGATGAGAAGGTAGTAGGCGGAGAAGCGAAGGAAGGAAAAGAGGGCCATAGGGGGAAAGAGCAAACATAAGAGGCCCCGGTGACACCGCCTACCGAGCCAACCCTGCATAAGTCCCCGAACCCATACAGGCCGTGGATCCCCTTCCCAGGCCGACTCTTCGAGGAGAAGGCCGCATTCTGATTCAAGACATCCAATGCGATGTTGACTAAGGCCAATGTCGACTTATTGCCTCCCGACGTGATGAAGAAGATACTGGCCAATCTCGACAAGAATAGATCTCTAACTTATTTGACATAAAATAACCATTTTAATTCTAGATATAGATTTCTAGTTCACATAGCAAATGATCTCCAAAAATCCTAAAATTTAAACCACATCATCTACACAATATTCTAAGTTTTTAGGAATTTAAATCACAATTTTTGTACATGTACAACTCAAGATACGAAATTTAGGCACGTAATAGCATAAAATCTAGATCTCTCATTCTACTCCACTTTTCTTGATTTTATAATTTATAAAAACATTATAAATCAGATATAAGCCAATGAAGGGGGTTTTGGTAGATCTACCTTCTTCGGGACTCAAAATCAAAAATAGAAAACGAAGGTGGCTAGCGGTGCGTCCGGTGGCCTTGGGACCGGCGTGCGCTGCAGCTGGGAGCTAGTTGTAGCACCCCATTTCTTTTCAGCTAAATCATAGTGTTGCATTGCTTGACTAATTAAGAATCTCATTTGTGCCATGTATGCTGAGTGTTTATTTGTGAATTATTTTCCTAATTGAATTATGCAATTATGTAGATTAATTGTAATTGATTAAATTATGTGCTTTTGTGAATTTTTCTCATAAGTGAATTATGTGATTATGTGAATTAATTTTCTTAAGTGAAATTATGTGATTATGTGGATTAATTTCTTGATTGAATTA